ACCGAGCACTTCTCCGTACGAGCGCTTGGTATAAGACCGAGCACCATTTAACTTATAACAGTAGACTTGATAATTATACTAAGGGACTTTCGAAGTAGTGTTTACGAACAGAAGAATATACTATTCATATATATAAAAGAATAGAGTTTATCAAAGAATACCAGATACAACAGTGCTTGGCCGAACGCTCAAGCATAGTATTATAACACGAGGACGCTCGTCCTCAACTAGGGTTCTATCCAAATGAAAGAATCGACATTTCAACTATGTTACAAGGGAAAACCGAACGGTCAATGACCGTTCAGTAACGAACGTATATTGTCATGGGGAATTCATTTTCAAGTCCATTTACATTCCAGTTCTTTTCTCATTATGCAATCTCATAGTTTCATGCATTCATATCAACATCAACTTCCATATTTCATACAATCCATATCATGTAAAGTCATGTATTTCATTCCCACTCATAAATCACGAACGTTCATGCAATTCAATCACGTCAAACATCATGCATTATACTCATGCAGTCAAATAACAAACGTTCATACAAGGCACAACATACGAATTAAATCAAATAAGCTTCCCTTACCTGGATACGTGATGGAAATGGTCTAAGAGTGGGTTTTTGGTTCGTCCAAATCTACAACTTCTACCCTCAACGATCAACACTTCTCCAAACTAAACCGAACAATCACAAAGAACCAAAAATCACTTAAACTATACCCCCGCATGCAACCAGAACTTGGTTTGCATGTAATAAAAGAACGAACGACTAAGGGGAGAAAACTTATCGGCTCAAACTTGAAACTTGTTCGGTTCAAGATGAAGCTTGAGTTGCCGGAAGCACTTCTACGGTTTCTGAATGATGATCGGAGAAGAGGAAAGGTTAGTTTTCCTAGAGAGAAGGTAGGAATTCTAGTGAGAAGGAGGAGAAAAATGAAAGATAAGATTTTTGGAAGATGAAGGGTGCATGCAGAGAGAGTGGGAAGAAGGTTTCAGAAAATCATTTTTCTTCCCATGTAAAACGAACGTCCGCTCTCCTACTGACACCTGCATTCCACTATCTGATTTCAGATTCTCGTTTCTTGACACTTGGTGTCAGCGCAGAGGGGTTTTGAGTGCGTTTAATGAGATTAGACAGGTGGGTTCTGGGTGCATATTTACGAGGTCTGACAGGGTTCTTCAGAAACGAGAAAAGAAGGTGCGTGCAGAGAGAGTGGAGCGTTTTCTGAAAACTTCAGTTTTGCTTCCCCCGCCGAACGCACGTCCACTCTGCAGTCGACACCTACTTCCCACTACCGATTCCCGACTCCCCTCGGCATGACACCCGGCGTCCGTTAATGAAGTGTCTCGTCCTGCGGTCGCCACATGCGTTGCTGAGGTGTCTCGCTCTCAGACTGCCACGCGGACTCCAGCGAATGCACGTTATTTTCCAGGGTCTGACAAGAACTATTATCAAAGGGTGTTCGTCCTCAACTAGAATTCTTTCCAAATGAAAGAATTCAATTTCAAAGAAGTTTACTAGTAATCACCGAACGGTCAAGGACCGTTCAATGATGAACGTTCATTATCATAGGGAATTTATATTCAAAGTTTCATTTACATTAAACTCATTTCTCAGCATAAAATTTCATATTTTCAAATACTCATATCATAGCACATTTCATAATTCTCATACATCAGCTCATAATCATAACCATATACCTAAAATCAAATATCACAAATTCATGCTTCATACAACTCACAGAACGTCCATACAGCACAATACAAACATACGAATTAAATTGAATAAGCTTCCCTTACCTGGATCAGGGAGTGAACGTCCTAAACGTAAGATTTTGGGTTCGCCCGTCTACAGCTTTCTACCCTCAAAGATCACTTAACTCTTGCAACTAAATCTAACCACATAAAAAAAATCAAGAATAACTTAGACTATATCCCTGCATGCAAATCTTCAAGAGGTAAAGGGAGCTAGATCTATTTCTTTTGATTGTAGAACTAGGCTGTTGTTTGATGCAAATCTGGGGGAAAAGGGGATAAAAATGGTGCTCTTGAAGTTTGATTTGCGATTCTGCAAATTCTGCAGAATGTGAGATGTACGTTCGATCGTGAGTTATTACCGTTCGGTTAAGCCTTGATTTTTTTGTACCGTTCGGTTAGGTATTGATTTATGTCGTTCGGTCAGGGTTTATTTTATACCGTTCGGTTGATACCTGATTTGATAGTGTCCGGTTAAGTGTTGATTTGTTACGGTTCGGTCTTGAATATTTTATACCGTTTGGTTAGGCCTTGACTTGGTACCGTTCGGGTAGGTGTTATTCTAGTACCGCTTTGTAAAATCTGGTAACGTTCGTTCCAGAGTTCAATTGATACCGTACGGTTAAGTGTGAGTTTAATACCGTTCTGTTAAGTGTTGATTTAGTACCGATCGGTCAGGATTTGATTTAGTACCGATCGATCAAGAATTTGATTTAGTACCGTTCGGTCAGGCTTTGATTTAATACTGTTCGGTTAAGTGCTGATGTGGTACTGGTCGGTCATGTGTTAAGTTGTGATCATTCGGCCAGGATTCTAGACCATCGTCAAGTACTTAGATGTTCGGCAAAGTGCTCTAGGTGTTCGACCGAAACTCAAACGTTCGTCCTAATAGTGTTTGATCTTGAGTGTTCGGTCTTGGTGTATTAGTAATTATAAACGTTCGTTCTTAATTTGGTATTCTTAAGTTGGGATCATAAGCGTTCGGTCTTAATATGTGTTAGTGATCGTTAACGTTCGATCTTGATCAGATATTCTGAGGTTTAGCTTGTAAGCGTTCGGTCTTAGTGTGTTAGTGCTTGTTAGCATTCGGTCTTAGTGTGTTAGTAACCATGGAACTTAATTAATAATTTAAGTTTTTCAATATTATTAAATAAATAAATTTTATACTTTTAATTATTTTTGTAATTGAATTAAATTTTTTATAAAAGAATTTTAATTAAATAATTTATAACTATAATTATTATAATTATTGTGAGACCCTGAAAAATAGCATACATTCGATGGAGTCCGCGTGGGAGTTGGAGAGCGAGACACCTCAGCATCGCACGTGGCGACCGCAGGAAGAGGCACCTTGTAACATCCCAAAATATAGTAATTACCATAATTTAGAATTAATTACAATTAACAGTAAATAAGCAGTCTTTACAATTAACTAAGTTCAAAAGCCGAACGGCTTAAGGTTGCAGAGTTTCAATATACAGCTCAAAACAACGAGCGCTAATAACGAACGGTTTTACCAAAACATATAACCGAACGTCTAAAAATAAACTAAACATTTACAAACTGATCTATCGAGCGCTCTAAGGCTCGGCCTTTACTTCTACCTCCACCAGATTAGCTTCATCCAAATTTTCTTCTTCCAGTATTTCTTCAAGGGACGTACCACCATCTGCTCACATCCACAACGGATGATCATTGCAAGACAGGACGAACGTACATGGACAATTGACAACACAAGGAAAACGAAAGGGTAAGCTTATAATATTTAATTCATACATCCAACATACTCATTCAACATTTCAATGCATACGCACAACATACAATTTAACATAATTCATCATAGTAATTTATAAGTATAATAGACGACCGTCCGGACTGTATGAACCGTGTAGCTACAGGCGTCCTTGCACCCGAGTGATGTAGTAACTGGGATACCCTCAACAGCTGCCACTCGAGGTTAGCTCTATCCAAAGTACCCCTAAGGAATAGAACCTCCTGCCATTCCCACACATGACTACTCCCTTCTACGTGAAGATGAGCATCCCGGAATATCAGGATGGACCAAGCCAGCATTAGCTATCCACAGTCATACTTTACCAATTCAATCTTTCAATATATATATATATGAGACGTTCCTCCCTGGAACGCTCGTCCAAAATCCAACATCATAAATTCAGTTCTCATAGTGTTCACACTTTAATTTATCATATTCCATCATCTTTTACATCATTAGGTTCAGGAGTCAAAAATGACGAACGCTCAATCCATTGAAGAAGTAGGACGAACGTCCAAATAAAGTTACTGGATACTCAGGGAAATATACAACAAACGTAATTTTCTATTTGGCCAGTTAGATGAACTGACTCGACTTGAAGTGTACTGGTACTTAGAAAATATTTGTGATAAAAACATGAACCAGATTTAATACACAATGGAGTGTCAAGAATACTTAGAATCATATTTGAAGATGGTTGCAT